CTGGGCCGCGATGCGGTGAGGCAAGCCAGGATAGGGGCCGCCTGTACTGTAATCTTCATCTTGAACATGGGCAGCATCTGCTCAAATTCTATATGCTTGTGGTGTACACGACATATATCAGTAAACTTGACTGTATCTTACTGACATCAAACTCCGCTCGACTACCCCAATCGCACGTCAAACTGTCTTCCAGTCGGATCCGAGGCCTCTCCACACGGGACCAGCGGGCGAGCAATGATCGCCACTTTTCCGGCCCTTGCGCACCTCATGCCTCCCCGCGGAGGTATAATGATTTAGCCTGAACAGCAACTACCGATCTATTCCTTCCTTTTGATCTGGCGCCATGCGGGGAAGGAGACGTTTAGGGCTGATGCGGCGGAGATCCATCACAGGTTTGCTCACAACAAGCGGCGCGCCAGCGGTGTTGGCCAAGTTGCTGATCTGCTTTTCCGATGGTGCATATATACGTCATCTCGACCTATCAGTCGACGCCCCCTCTTTCGGTGCTCCTAAAACTTCAATGAACCGAGGTGTCACGGTGTATCAGCCTCTGTAGAGCTTCGATGCGAAGAGAACGCCGTCTAGTGAATTCTAGTCTTGATCTTGTACAGCACGAAAAAGTCTAGAAGAACTTCCAGATCGAATCAGGTCCCTTGGTACTCTTGAATGCGCTGTACCTCTTACAGGCAAAATACAGCACAAATAACACGGCCACCCAGTTAGCGAAGAATACCCACACATTGTCGATTCCCTTCCCAGGCCCCTCCCCCATCGGGTCCTTGAAGTCCGTCTCGTGCCCGAAGAACGCCACGAGGATGCCTCCGAAGGCGAAGAGCAGGAACATGTGCGCCACGTAGAAGAACAGGGCCGACGTGCCAAAGACGAGCAGGACCTTGAAATAGCGCGTTTCGAAAGACGCGGGAAGTGCCGTGAAGATGGCGAGGAGGAGGAACGTGCCGGCGAGGGTGAAGGCAAGAATCCACCACATCGGATACTTGACGACATAGAAGAAGGAGGCCACAGAGACCAGGTACGGGTTCGTTTGCGGGTGCGCAAGCTGGTCACTCGTCTGGAGGCAGTTCTCGGATAGATTGCCAAAGCGTAGGGCGCGCGTGAGGACGAAGAGGACGGAAAAGGCCAGGGCGGCGGCGAGGTTGGCGCAGGCGACGGTCGTGGCTGACCAGGAGCGGCGCAGGATCAGGCGGCCGTAGAGGACGCCGAGGATGGCAAAGGAGATCCAAGCGAGGGGCGGGAAGCCGGAGACGATACCGGGGAACCGCATGGTCATGACTTGGTAGAACCAGAAGCGGAGGAAGAGGCTGCCCTTAGGCTCAGGGGCACCTTCGGCAAGGCAGTAGCCGTGAGTTGGGGACATCCACATGTTCCACCAGATAGTGACAGTTGTCAGAACCAGAAGGATCATGTTGTGAAACATCCACGAAATGCTCTCGGCGCGGGATGAGGGCTTCTCAGAGAACCTCTCGTCGCGGTTGTTGACGAGAAGAGGTGCCTCGGCTTCTTCGTCCGGAATCCAGCGGGATAGGACAGTTGCAAGAGCCAGTTCAGTATACGAGAGTCCAACCCACAGCACGCCGACCAGAAAATAATCCACGGCCAGCGCGATCAGGATGATGTTGAAAACCCACACGGCGCCCCCCGTGATGATGCCCCCCATGGCCATTGATACGAGCGTCAAAACGACGGCCCTGACAAGGAAGTGCCGAACCATTCGGCTGGCAGACCATCCGAGCTTCGTCCTCGACCGGCCAAAGTACACGATGCCCATGCCCAGCAAGAAAGTGAACCCAGGCGCGCAGAAATGGGCGAGGGTGCGCATGGCGTAGGCGATGCGATAATTCCCCTGATGCACGACGGCACCATCCTCCTCGGTCACGCGACCGGTGCCGTGCTGCCAGGCGCCCAGGGCATGGTGTTGTGGTCGATGGCCATGAAGGCCATGAGAAGGCCTCGCACGAGATCGGGCGCAATGGCGCGCGCCGAGGCTGTCGCGGCTGGCAGCTTGAGGCCGAGGCTGCGCTGTACGGAGCCGTACGAGCGCCTTTCAATGTCAGTGAGGGCGCGGCGCGCGGGGCTTTCGTGTGATGAGGTTGTGATTTCGCTCGCGTCATCATTGTCGCCAATGTCTTCGAAGGCTGTTTCCTGGGGGTGATCATCAGGGTGGAGCGGCACCGAAGAGGCTGTCGAGGCCATCTTGACAACCTGGAGGCTTACGGCCAGAGCCAAAATGCCTGAAATGGTTCGAAAATAGCACAGGTTGATGAGTGACAGACGAGTGAGAAGAAGTCAAGAAACCGTTTGGAGAGGGTTGAATTCTGAGGACGCCAAGCTCAGCATCTCACCTCAGCCTAGAAACGAGTTCGGAGCGAGCGGAGCCTTCAAGTGGCGCTACTAGCCAATTGATCCGATTCGGTCCATGTTGCCATCGTTGTTGTGCATTTGTCAGAGGGTGGGTGGAGGATGACGCAGCTCTATTTTTGCCTTGTCAGTCGTTTATGATTAGTCTAGCTGGCGGATCTTCGGACGCTGAATCAGAATGAGAATGCTGCTCTAGATATTGGCGTCGAGATGAACGAACATGGCGCCATTGCGAGATGCGAGTCGTTTACCGTTGAAACCCTCTGCTGCAATTGAGCCTGGTCGCGACTTAGGCAAGGTCGTTGAGCTGGCTCTTCTGGCTTGCCTCAAAGTCGAAGCCAAGCTCGGCTAAGGTCTTGATCTCATGCCGTCGCTCCGCCCCGGTAGTCTTTGAAGGCCACCTTGATCAGTGGCACCCTTTTCCCTTGTCCCCCTTTTTTTCTGGGGCCCCAATAATGGCGGGCAGCTTTTCCCCTTGGCGTCGTTCTCCCAGCCCCTTCGACCCGTCGCCGCCCGACAGCGACCTGCTCGTGCAGCTTGTTTCAGGTAGTCCACATCCCTTGGGAAACAACATGGTTGTGAATTCGCCTTGCGCCACCACCCGCCTCCGCCAGCGCTTCTGCCTCCCACTCTCTCATATCCTCGGTGGGCGGCACAGCCAAGCGTCCCGCCCAGAGCCGCGCAACCCACGCCGTCTGCGCCTCGGGGATGGGAAACGGCACGATGCGCTGCGGGATGCCGACGAACGCCAGTGTCGGATCGTCAATGTAGAGCACGTGCTCATACAGGTTTCGCGCGTACGACCCGTCGGTGATGACCGGCGGCGACAGCCCCCGCAGGAAAGGGGAAGCTGTAGAAGTAGCCCGTGCAGAAGACGACCGA